ATATCTTTGACATTAGTTGAAGTGACAGGAAGGAATATGCACTATACAATGTGCACTATACAATGTGCTATGTTCATGATACCAATCTCTAAAACAAAAATGTATCTCAGTGCTTCTCAGTTGATGAAATCATCTTTCAAGAAGCTACAGTGGAGTTGCTGCTGCATTCTTTAGGAAAATAAAGCTGAACTGGGTTGTCTATTCTCATAAAAGTTTGTGGAAATTTGGAATATTTTAAGTAATAAAATGCACAGCCATTGCTGTTGCTGTAACAGTGGTGAGCTGTTATGTGCTGTCTCATCCAGGACTGGCATTCACATCTCCCCTTTCACAGCAGAGACAGAAGTTTTAGTTTTTCTCTTTCCAGTCATTTTTCCCCTCCCCTGGTGCACATTCTCCAAGGGCCGTCAGCTCCTGCAGCTCTCCTACCTCTCTCTCCCCTGTAAACCACTGAGAGGGTTCTCCTTGCAGTTCCCTGAACCAGCCAGCTTCAGCCCTGTTTTGGACCGATGTCTTACCCCGCAGCTCCCCGGCCTCCCGCAGGGCTGGGGCCGGCCGGTGCCGCAGCCGGAGCTGGGCGGGTGCGGACGGACCTTTCCCGAGCCGGGCCGCTGTGCCCAGGGAAGTCCGAACGGCAGGAGATAAATCCTATCAGTGTCACACGAAGGAAACCTCCGGACTTCCTCCTGTGTTGACAGGAAATTCCATTTCTTTACAGCCCGTGCCCAGATCCCAGGGTTTCACCTGTTGTTGGTACAGGGGTTGTAATAAAGACTTTCCACGAATTATATCCGGTTTAAAAGTGGATTATTGTAGGCACATTTTTTATAACAACAGGAAGTCCTGTTGGCAGCATATTTTAATTATGCTCTGGAGCTAATCAAGGAAAGAATCTGTTCTGAACACAGGAAGCTATATATACACATTTGAGTGCCTATTTCCACGGGGAGGTACAAGTGCTTAAGTGCTGCTGAACTCCCAGCACATGAGCAATCTGTTAAGTGTCTATAAAGCTCCGGCTTTCATAGGAAGGGGAGGATCCACCACCCCGTGTACGGCACCTGCTTCCTCTCTGCAGTCACTGGAGGGAGACAGGCAACTGTGATCGTGAGACTCTGATCATCTCTGGAGAAGCCTGAACTCTTTTCCCTGGCGGTAGAGGAAGAGTAAAGAGACTCAGGAGAAATCATGTACCTATAACAGTGTAGCTATTTGGTTTAATCACTGCCTGATGCCAGCTGTGAACTTAGTGCACCTGAGGCTGGTTGTCATGATTGCTGTATATGAACAACTTTTGTGATCTGTTACTGAAGGCAATAAGGTTTCCACTAAAAAGTGCCATTTCCTTAATTTTTCTCCATGTTTAGAGTTATTTTTTTCTTTGGTATTAAAGGCAGAGATGCATAACATATAGAACAAGCCCACTTACTCTTTGGAAACTACACGGTGTGTAATGCATGATACATGGTATGGTATTGCCTGGTCTGAATGGATAACAGCTAAAAGGTGCACATACTGCTTCCTAAAAGAGAGCATCCCAGCATCTCCAGGAACTCCTCTTAGTACTCTGCTGTAAAGTCTCATAGGCTGGAGAAAGCACTAACCCTCTCCAGAAGCCTCTAAATTAGATTGGAGGTCTTATTTGAAGCACACCCATCAAGTAAGTTCATCTAAGTAAACTGTACAAGCTCCTACAACTGAAACGTCACTGGGATGTTTGGGGTGTCCTGAACCTTTGTAAAAAGCATGGCAGAAAGAATTTTCTTAGATTTTAATCACCAGGAGATTGTTATGCTAATGAAGCCTAACTGGTATAAAAAAATAGGAGAGAAGCAGGGCTTGCACCCAGAACACGTGTGTACCCAGCTACATCTTTCAGCAGGTTCAAAATGTTCCCTGCCCCTGTTGCCCACGGGATTTATTTTCTCTGAGCACATCTCGTCTATTTCGAGCACTCCGTAAACATGCACTTTAGCTCTTCAGCGGAAGAGGGGAAGAAGAATCTTATTTGTCTACTGTCCCTGTGTTATAGGCTTCAGATGAGTATTTAGCCAACCAGTTTGGCAGGCCTTCCTGACTTTGCATTAAAGATTCCTACTTGAAGCGTGCAGAATAATTACAGAGTTGCAGAGGTCCGTTCAGGCTCTGCTGCCTTGGTGAGGAACTTCACGGATCCCACCTGGCTTTGGGCAGGGTCTGTAAAGCGTCCCGCGGGCCTGGGTTTTTGACATGCTGCTTTTCAAGGTGACTTGCCAAAGCGTTTCGTGCCTTGTCTTTCTCCTCGCGGCACCTGCATTCGCCTTTCTGTTGCTGCTCAGTATCAGTGATAAGGACGCTGTGTCAGGGTTCCGTAGTCTCGTGTTCTTTGTGAGTAACGAGGGGTTGGACACACATTCGGATGTAGAAGGGTAGCAAAGTTCTCAAATGAGCTTGAAAACCGCAATCCCCACTTCCTACTGCTCTAACCTGGAAAGCTGCCAGGATTCCCAGAAGAAAAGAATCCCCAAGACAATGTTGCTTTTGTCCTGGGTTTGTTAGTTATCTCGAAACACCTCGGGACGCCTCTGTAAGTAGATATTAATCAAAAAAGAACCTGGACGCAGGGAAGGGGCAAGGGGCTGGAGCGGGCGCGGGCAGCCCCGTACCCCGCGCTCGCAGGCGAGTGCCAAGCGCCGGGAACATCCGCTACTCTGCGGGGGCGAAAGAAGACGGTCAAAAAGCTTTCCCGTGAGAGGCCCTTTTGCAAGTCCCTCCCCGTTGCTCCGGGCACGGCCCCGGTGCCCAGCAGAGAGCCCGCAGGGCAGCTGCGGCGCCGCTCTCCTCCTCTACCCTCCGCATGAGAATAGGAGGTGCGGGTGGCAGCCCCCGCCCCTTCCCGCGGCCGGCGGCGCGACTGGGAGGCGCCCGGCGCGGCTACTAAAGGGCCGGCTCGGCGCGGGCTGCGCGGTGCTGCTCAGAGCTGCTGCCACCGAGCCCGGGCTGGGAAACAACAAGGCTTGCGCTTGTCAAGGTACGTCCTCTGCTAAGGGAAAAGCACGGTAGGGATTATGCGACAGGGACTCATAATCTCTGGTAGTGACTTGATGCTGTTTTCTCTCTTTAGTGGTTTAGTTCTGTTCTTGCCCCATTTGGTTTCGCTAAAGGTAGAAATCATATGGTGAGCAGGGGCTCTTTTGAACGTGGGCTTGTGTTAGTCCTGCCTTGAATGGCACCCTTGTGCCTTGCTTGGCTGCAATGTGTCCAAAAAGGATGTTCATGTACGTTTTCCTCTCTGTGTGTCTGCAGGTGGATTTCTCCTTCAAACTTTTCCCCTTTGAAGATCTCCTGCCCAGCTACAGTGATGTGGTTGTTGGAAAAGATCAGACCATCACATGAAAATGGAAACCTCCCCAGCTCTTCCTTCCTGGGACTGCCACAAGGCCAAAATCTGCCAGAAAAGGCCCAGCTGAGGGCCACTGCTTTTCCACATGTGATCACTCCTGACAGAATCCCTGAATTCTGCATTCCCCCCAGGCTGACCAGCTCTGGCTCCATTAAGGGCAGTGGCTTCCACCAGGATCACGATTCAGTGGATGCAGCTCTTACTTCTGATTATAGCCCCAGCTCTTGCCAACATCTCATTCAGGTGGAAAGTGTTGAAGAGGAGATCTCAGCTCTGGAGGAAGAAAGCACCAATGCAGACCCACAGTCCCAAGCAGCGCTCTCCCTGCCCCACTTTCCCAGAGCCTCCACTTCCTATGGCTTCTGCACTTTGCTGGAGAGTCCCCACACCAGGAGGAAGGAGTCCATCTTCCATGGTGATTCACGTGGGGCTCTGCCCAGCCTGAAGCTGTCTCGATCCAGAGCTAACACCTTCAGTGGCAAAGGGAGCATGTCTAATCCCATTGCTATCAGCTTTGCTTCTGTGAGACTGCCGCCCAAGCATCTCTCTCTGCACCGGCAAGGTGCCTGTGACAGCGACACTGCCTCTTCCAGTGATTCCTCTCCTTTCAGTTCTCCACTTCTCAGCAGGTCACCTCCCAGACCCTGCTCCCTGATCAAAGCACAAAGTCAGGAGGGATTGCTCTGCAGAGCACTGAAAGACAAAAGCAAACACAGTATGCCCAGGAACAATTCTCTCTCTACAGAGGAGAGCAGCTCCACTGATAACAGCCCCAGTGCCATCAGGAGGGCCTCTGAGGGGCTGCTTGGCATACGGGGCTTTAGCACCTCCTGTTCTCCCATGTTTCCAGTGGACCTGAGCTGCAGTCGGGAGAGACTGGTGGGAGAGAGTACTGTGGTAATGGACAAGGGAGGCATGTTGAGGCTGTCAGCTGAATACTGCTCAGAGAACGAGAGGCTGCGGATCCGCCTGATCAGTGCAGAGGGTTTATATGATGATTCTGTAGAGCCCAAAACCATAAACTGCTGTATCTCCTTCTCCCTGGTGCCAGGGAAAACACAGAAGCAGAGAAGCACAGTTATAAAGAGGAAAACCGCAATCCCCACTTCCTACTGCTCTAACCTGGAAAGCTGCCAGGATTCCCAGAAGAAAAGAATCCCCAAGACAATGTTGCTTTTGTCCTGGGTTTGTTAGTTATCTCGAAACACCTCGGGACGCCTCTGTAAGTAGATATTAATCAAAAAAGAACCTGGACGCAGGCAAGGGGCTGGGGCCGGGCGCGGGCAGCCCCGTCCCCCGCGCTCGCAGGCGAGTGCCAAGCGCCGGGAACATCCGCTACTCTGCGGGGGCGAAAGAAGACGGTCAAAAAGCTTTCCCGTGAGAGGCCCTTTTGCAAGTCCCTCCCCGTTGCTCCGGGCACGGCCCCGGTGCCCAGCAGAGTGCCCGCAGGGCAGCTGCGGCGCCGCTGTCCTCCTCTACCCTCCGCATGAGAATAGGAGGTGCGGGTGGCAGCCCCCGCCCCTTCCCGCGGCCGGCGGCGCGACTGGGAGGCGCCCGGCGCGGCTACTAAAGGGCCGGCTCGGCGCGGGCTGCGCGGTGCTGCTCGGAGCTGCTGCCACCGAGCCCGGGCTGGGAAACAACAAGGCTTGCGCTTGTCAAGGTACGTCCTCTGCTAAGGGAAAAGCACGGTAGGGATTATGCGACAGGGACTCATAATCTCTGGTAGTGACTTGATGCTGTTTTCTCTCTTTAGTGGTTTAGTTCTGTTCTTGCCCCATTTGGTTTCGCTAAAGGTAGAAATCATATGGTGAGCAGGGGCTCTTTTGAACGTGGGCTTGTGTTAGTCCTGCCTTGAATGGCACCCTTGTGCCTTGCTTGGCTGCAATGTGTCCAAAAAGGATGTTCATGTACGTTTTCCTCTCTGTGTGTCTGCAGGTGGATTTCTCCTTCAAACTTTTCCCCTTTGAAGATCTCCTGCCCAGCTACAGTGATGTGGTTGTTGGAAAAGATCAGACCATCACATGAAAATGGAAACCTCCCCAGCTCTTCCTTCCTGGGACTGCCACAAGGCCAAAATCTGCCAGAAAAGGCCCAGCTGAGGGCCACTGCTTTTCCACATGTGATCACTCCTGACAGAATCCCTGAATTCTGCATTCCCCCCAGGCTGACCAGCTCTGGCTCCATTAAGGGCAGTGGCTTCCACCAGGATCACGATTCAGTGGATGCAGCTCTTACTTCTGATTATAGCCCCAGCTCTTGCCGACATCTCATTCAGGTGGAAAGTGTTGAAGAGGAGATCTCAGCTCTGGAGGAAGAAAGCACCAATGCAGACCCACAGTCCCAAGCAGCGCTCTCCCTGCCCCACTTTCCCAGAGCCTCCACTTCCTATGGCTTCTGCACTTTGCTGGAGAGTCCCCACACCAGGAGGAAGGAGTCCATCTTCCATGGTGATTCACGTGGGGCTCTGCCCAGCCTGAAGCTGTCTCGATCCAGAGCTAACACCTTCAGTGGCAAAGGGAGCATGTCTAATCCCATTGCTATCAGCTTTGCTTCTGTGAGACTGCCGCCCAAGCATCTCTCTCTGCACAGGCAAGGTGCCTGTGACAGCGACACTGCCTCTTCCAGTGATTCCTCTCCTTTCAGTTCTCCACTTCTCAGCAGGTCACCTCCCAGACCCTGCTCCCTGATCAAAGCACAAAGTCAGGAGGGATTGCTCTGCAGAGCACTGAAAGACAAAAGCAAACACAGTATGCCCAGGAACAATTCTCTCTCTACAGAGGAGAGCAGCTCCACTGATAACAGCCCCAGTGCCATCAGGAGGGCCTCTGAGGGGCTGCTTGGCATACGGGGCTTTAGCACCTCCTGTTCTCCCATGTTTCCAGTGGACCTGAGCTGCAGTCGGGAGAGACTGGTGGGAGAGAGTACTGTGGTAATGGACAAGGGAGGCATGTTGAGGCTGTCAGCTGAATACTGCTCAGAGAACGAGAGGCTGCGGATCCGCCTGATCAGTGCAGAGGGTTTATATGATGATTCTGTAGAGCCCAAAACCATAAACTGCTGTATCTCCTTCTCCCTGGTGCCAGGGAAAACACAGAAGCAGAGAAGCACAGTTATAAAGAGAAGCAGAAATCCCATCTTCAATGAGGACTTCTTTTTTGATGGCATTGCAGAAGAAGAGCTGTACAGCCTCTCTGTCAGGATGAAAGCAACAAATAAAGGGTGCAGTATGAAACGGGATTATACCTTAGGAGAACGGGAATTGTCTTTAATGAGTATGTTGGCAGTGTAGTGCTTCAAATAAACAAATTGTCTGCTGAAAGTTTTCTACTAAATAAACTTTTAGGTTGACTTTTATGTTGTTGAGGTTGTTGTTTTTTTTAAGAATACTTAAAAGCACTACTTTGCTTGGTGTTACTGTCATGCTCTTGTGCCTTGTTTTGCTGTTTAACACTTCAAACTGAGATATTGACAGGAGGGGGGAGAAGGGCTAGTTTGCCTTTATGATAAAGGATTAGGCTGTTACCAAGTCAAGGCTGTTCTTGTTTATGGCTTTCAGGCCATAAACTTTAGGTAGAAGTGTTTTTCCCTCTGCCTGGTCCCTAAGTGGGTAACAGTCTGTGCACACAGTACACCCTGGACTCTATTGCAGCTCCTTGGTACAACATCAGTTCAATGGACCATTTTGACAACACTCATATTTGCACAAACGAATGTTTTAATGAGCCCTGTGTTCAGAGGGAGAATGAGTTCTTTTACAACAGGTGGGTTTGGATTCCCAAAGCCAGTGTAAGTTTGTGTTGAGGATAACAAGATCAGCTTCTGAGCAGCAGCTAAAAGCCACCGGAGGCAGGGCTGTCTTTACACACACCTGCAGTATCAACACTTGAACAGCCTGGGTGAGCTTGCAGCACGGTCAGCATCTTCTTTTACCTTCCCTTTCCATGGTCGGTTTCACAGCCCACAGAATCAAGTTGCCAGGTAATTGCGTTTTGATCAGGAATGTTCCTGAGAGCTACAGCCCTCAGCAATTCAGCTATTGAATCCTTTCTGAAGCAGATAAGATATCAGTGCAGCAAGGACAAAGGACATTTTGGGACCCCGGCATTGAATTCCTGCTTCACCTAATGACTTCACGCATACCTTGCTCAAGTCATTGTCATACAATTAGTGTAATCAATCTGTCCTGTCACCAAGTGGTGAGTGGTGGAAGCACTTGCTTCAGTGCAAGGGGAAACGGGAAACACAAAAGTGCAGAACTCCAGCATACTTGAGACCATCTTCCCTTCTTTTTTTTTTTTTTTAATGAGGCTTACTTGGGGCTGGGAAAAATAAATAAATTAGTGGAAGGAGGCAAAAGTGTCTTGAAAGTCCAGGTGTATTGCTGCCTCCCTTGAATAAGTTGCAGGCTTCATTACATAAAAGTAGATAAGCCTTGATGGAGGATCAATCCGTGCAAGCAAGGGGCAGAGAAAACAAAGGTTTACTTTTGTGTTCCCTTTGAGGCTGTAGAAATAGGGCCTTCCTAGTGTTCAAATACACATCTTAAATGCTATTTCACAGAGATTTTAGCAGGATCTCCCTCTGGCCTATTCTGGCAAGAGTCTAGTCTGCAAATCATGGGACTGCTCACAGGGAGACTGTGGTATTCCTTGGCCAATGAATAACTTGATTCTGTTTCAGACAGAAATACTTCAGGAAGGATAGCAGAAAATTCCTTCTGATAGCAGAAAAAGCCCAAAGGATGTTAACTGTGACCACAAGTGCTCAGAAATGCCTACTGCTAATCCTTGATCCAACTCACGTGAGATGCTTCTAAAAACAGAATCCTTGTGCAAAGGGCAACTCCCACAGGTGAATGGTTGGGTGTATTCCCAGAAGCCAACTGAAATAAAATGGAATAATAATCCCTTTGTGCTAAGGGAAGGAATTAAATGTACTGACACACTGCTCAGATGGAGGTGATGCACTTTCACTTTTATCCTTGAATCTGGGCAAATTGACCATAAGAGGAAACTTGAAGTGGTGAGAAGTGGAATTTAAAAATGTGACTTCTAGGAGGCATGAATAATGTTGGAAAAAAAAAAAAAGCCAATTTAATTAGTTATTGCATGTGGTCTCCTGAAGGAGGGCAGAGGCTCCCTCTCAGGCTTGTCACTCATCCACCATCACATTTAGTTCCTGGGGTTTAGGGTCTCTTCACAGGTATATTCACATGGAGAGATTGGCTGAGACAATACAGAACAGTTCCAGGCCTCAGAGGAGCATGTACAGTCACACTGTGCTGGGGATCCCTGTGACCTGTGACCTGTGCCATGCCAGTGCTGCCCTGCAGGGACAAAATGATGGGGAGGTTTGAGGTGGGGCAGGGGCCTTTGGGGATTGTATCACCTGATTCCTGCTGGAAGCACAGTCAGCTCCAGCAGGTTGCCCAGGACCATGTCCTATATTGGGCTTAAAATGTCTCCAAGGATAGAGACTCCAAAATGTGCTTGGGAAATATACTCCAGTGTTTTATCACCTTACCAGCAGAAAAGGGAGTCTTTTTTCTGCATAAGTAAAATTCCCTGTATCTCAATCTGTCCTTGTGGCTTCTTGTCCTGTCACTGGATACTGCTGAGTAAAGCCTGGCTCCATCCTCTCCACTCCCTCCCAGCAGATATTGACACATATCATTGAGATCTTCCCTGAGCCTTCTCTTCTGCAGCCCAGTGGGCATACTGCAGTTACTGACATAATAGAAATGTGCTTCTGAAGTCTCATCTTTTATCAGGCAGGAAAGGAGTTAAGTCCTTAAAAAAGTTCTCCCTTCCTGTCACAGGAAGATCGGTTTCCAGCTGGGCTCATCTGTTCAAGTATTTAAACAGGTGAAGGCCACCTCTTTGGTTGGTTGAAAGGAAACTCAGCTGTTTTTTAACACTCTTTAAAAAATGATATATTTCTGAGAAAGCCTCCTCATGGAAGTTTGATGATAGGCCTGCAAGTTAGAGGGGGACAAAGCAAAGAAGTAGAAGACTTGCCAATTCAAAGGCAGAGTTATGCCTGGGAAGGATAGAGGGACTTTGCATTAGAGGGGGACAAAGCAAAGCAGTAGAAGACTTGCAGACCCAATTCAAAGGCAGAGTTATGCCTGGGAAGGATAGAGGGACTTTGCCTACCTGTTTCTCTGGTAAATAATTTAGATTCAGGTTTTTCTTGATAATTTTCCTCTTTAATATAAGAACTTTGAATTAAGTACCTATTCAGGTACATTAGACTAGACTACACATCACTGTGACACTAGATGGAAAACAGTATTGGTGGGCTCCCCCCATTTTAGTGTGTCTCTACATTTTAGAGTATTTGATTAATTTTGAGTTTTGGGCTGTTGCTTATCAGGTGTTATTAACAATGCAAATTTCTGAGAAAGCCTCCTCATGGAAGTTTGATGATAGGCCTGCAAATTAGAGGGGGACAAAGCAAAGCAGTAGAAGACTTGCAGACCCAATTCAAAGGCAGAGTTATGCCTGGGAAGGATAGAGGGACTTTGCCTACCTATTTCTCTGGTAAATAACTTAGATTCAGGTTTTTCTTGATAATTTTCCTCTTTAATATAAGAACTTTGAATTAAGTACCTATTCAGGTACATTAGACTAGACTACACATCACTGTGACACTAGATGGAAAACAGTATTGGTGGGCTCCCCCCATTTTAGTGTGTCTCTACATTTTAGAGTATTTGATTCCTTTTGAGTTTTGGGGTGTTGCTTATCAGGTGTTATTAGCAATGCAAAGCCATAACATAATTTGAACACTTCAGTTAGCCTGCCTAGAAAACACAGGACTTGTTTTCCTGTGCTCTTAGAGGCCAGCTAAGCTGTAAGTGGTGAACACCTACAACGCTGCCTGTGCTGCAGCTGCTTTCCGTGAGCGTCAGCCTTATTGGGGCAATTACGTAAAACACCTGCATAAGCAAACAAAAAGGCAACTGGATACTTCAGCCTGGAAAAACTCATGATGCCTCAATGCTTCTGTTAGAGTCAGCAGCAAGAAGAAAATCAACCTCCTGGCATTAGCAAACAGCTACTCAGTTAAGAAATATTATCTTCAGGGGTTTTCAGAACTTCTGAAACAACATGAAAATATGGGAGCATAAATGACTCTTTCAAACAAAAATCCTGTTTTGGGTAGTCTGATCAGCTGTGTTCAGTGGTGCTCACTGGTTGGAAGATCACATCTCAATTTAAATTAAAAAAAAACCAACAACCCAGACAATTGTTTGAGGAAAAGAAGGTCATTGTGCCAAGATCCTGGACTCATGTTCTACTAAGCAAATATTATTTGTTTCAGCTGCACTGAAGTAATACTTTTGCTGGCCTTTTCAAATGCAGTTATTTCAAGCATGCCTCTTGAGTTCTGGAGAAATGTTACTGCAAAGAAAGCCTTATGTTTTTCTTTCCAGAAATCCACTCAGGTTATCTCAAACACAATTTGAGTTGAAATATACTGACATATGGTACGGTAAAATGCAATTCCTGTAACTGAGCTCCTTTTCAGGTAAAATTCAGAAATAATACCAAGGGAAGCAAATACATGTGACCTAAAAAGCCTAACAGGACAGATCTGTAGGCCAGGGATTAGGCAACATAGTGTTTGCAGTATCAAATTCTGCTTATTGCATCACTTTTTCTAAGCTGCTCCCATTTCTCAGGCTGCCTTTGGAGAGGAAGCTGAACACAACACCTATGCTGCTTCTAGGTGCTTCATCTTCTTCTGCTGGGGCTTGGCTTTTCAGTCAGCCACAGTGACTGTGGTGAAAGACTGAGCATATGATGGGGCCTAATGGGCAAAAATTCTTCTATTTTTTTAGTCTAGGTAGTAATTGCTGAGGGTAAACTCTTAGTTTTCTTAGAGAACAGATGAAAGAACAATTAGATAAATGTATAAATCTGTGAAAAGCCTATCCGTGGGTTGCCAAGCTGGGGAAGTTGTCCTGGAGAAATCAGTGTCAATGGGATTGCTCAGTGTGAGGACCTCTCTTGCAGGATTGCTAGGAAGGTCATGCCACAAGCTGTGTGCTCACAGGGCCATCCCATGCTCACCATGCCTTCCCCAGCTGCTGGCTGCTGGTTGTTGTCCTGTGTCTAGGCTGGAGCTCCAGCTTGCACGGGTGCCTGAATTGTGGGCCATGATATTTGGCCATGGTGGGAAAGGGATCGAGCCATATCTACTGCTAGCTTTTTGCAGCAGGATTAAAACAAACAGTAGCCTTATGCTCACAGAATGAATAGCATAGTTAGAGGCTGTTTGTTTTCGAGTTCTGTGTGCCCTGAATAAAAAATGTGTGTAAGATTTATCTGCATATTTAAATGAATGGC